CCATCAGGAACGTTCTGGTATCATTGTTCCTTCTCTCTGATCTCTGAGCTCCAGGTTCTCACAGCCTGTCTCCTACTTCTCACGTCTGTATAAATAGAAGGTGCCATTCAAGGGTTTTTTTTCCCCCAAGTATCCATTCCTAGAAATAGAAGTGACTGGAAACTTACATGGTGGTGCTTTTGTTCCTTTCTAAAAATGTGGGCATGTGGAGGGCCAACTTGTGTTTGTTCTTGTGAAGACTTCTGCTAACATTAAGAATTTCTTGAGGCTTTCTTGTTGTGCTAAGGTTTCGCAATGTAGATAAAGCCTAGTCTTTATTATCAAAGAATTTAACCTCCAGGTGGAAAAACAATAAGCCCACAGCAATTCCTTGGGTTTCGGATAGCTTTCACATTCACCAGCTCATTTAATCCAAAAACATCTAACCACCTAAGGTAAGTTAGACAGCGGAGTTCCTGGGTGGTGCAAATGGCTAGTGCTCTGCTGTTAACCGAAGGGTTGGAGGTTTGAGTTCACCCAGAGGTGCTTTGGAAGAAAGACCTGGCTATCTACTTTAGAAAAATGAGCCATTGAAAACCCTAGGGAGGCACTTCACCAAAGACAACGTTCAGGCGGCTAACAAACCCATGAAGAGATACTCTCAATCATTAGCCATTAAAGAAATGCAGATCAAAACTATAATGAGATACCACCTCACCCCTGCAAAAATGGCAACGATCAAAAACACAGAAAACAACAAATGCTGGTGAGGTTACGGGGAGATTGGAACTCTTATACACAGCTGGTGGGATTGTAAAATCGTACAAACACTACGGAAAAATGGTATGGTGCTTCCTTAAAAAGCTGGAAATAGAAATACCATATGATCCAGTCATCCCACTCCTAGGTGTATATCCTGGAGAAATAAGAGCTGTGACACAAATAGACACGTGCACACCCGTGTTCATTGCAGCATTGTTCACAATAGCAAAAAGATGGAAGCAACCTAAGTGTCCATCAGCAGGTGAGTAGATAAACAAAATGTGGTATGTACTTACTGCAGAATACTACTCGACAATAAAGAGTAACGATGAGTTCATGAAACATCTCATAACATGGATGAATCTGGAGGACATTATACTGAGTGAAATAAGTCGATCACAAAAGGACAAAAGTCAAGAATAGATTTACACACAGAAAGCAACATTCTTTGATGGTTACCAGGGATGGGAAGGGAAGGGAGGAAGAATCACTTGCTAGATAGTAGCCGCGTGTTAATTCTGTTGAACGGAAGGCAAAATACATAATATGGGGGAGTCAGCACAGTGTGAGGAAGCTGCATGAAGAAACTCAGAGGTACGCAAGAGTAAAGGACAACTACAGTGAATGTTACAACACACACAATCCTGCGACAACAGTCATAGCCGATTACATAGGTGGATATGTATGCCATATAGGTGTGGGAAAGTGTATGGGAGTATGTACGTGTCCATATATAGGTATGGTTGTGGACAGTTGTATATATATTTTTGTATATGCTGCATTTATATTCATATATATATAATAGGGCACATAGGGGCCACCATTATGGAAACTTCCTAGATGGATCCAAACACCTCATGGGAATGAGTTACTGGGTTTGAAGGCTCAGGACCATAGTCTTGGGGGACATTTAGGTCAATTGGCATAACATAGTGTAGTAAGTTGCGTCTGGGGTCTTAAAAGCTTCTGAGTGGCCTTCTAAGATACAACTATTGGTCTCCTCCTATCCGGAGCAAAAGAGAGTGAAGGAAACCAAAGACTCAAGGAAGCAATTAGTCCACAGGACTATTGGCCCACATGAACCACAGCCTCCTCAAGCCGGAGAACAGAAGAACTACATGGTGCCCAGCTTCTACTACCTACCACTCTGATCAGGGACATAATAGAAGGTCCTGGTTGGAATGAGAACAAAATATAGAACAAAACTCAAATTTATGAAAAAGACCAGACTTACTGGACTGATAGAGATTGGAGGAACCCCCAAGACTATCTCTCTAAGAAACTCTTTTAATCTGGAACTGAAGCCATTCCCGGGGGTCACCTTTCAGCCAAATAATAGATTGGCCTATAAAATAAACAATAACATCCGTGAGGAACGTGCTTCTTAGAAGAATCAACTATATGAGACCAAACGGGCAACATTTGCCCAAAAGCAAAGATGAGAAAGCAAGGAGGGGCAGGGAGACCAGAGGGATGGAAACCGGGAAGGCAGGGTGGAAATGGGGATTGCTGATACATTGCAGGGATAGCAACCAATGTCACGGAACAATTTCTGTATGAATTGTTGAATGGGAAACTAATTTGCTGTGTAAACTTTCACCTAAAACACCAATAAAATGTTCAAAAAAAAAAGGAAAGGAAACCCTGTGGAGCACAGTTCTCCTCTGATACATGTGAGGTCTCCGTGAGTTGGAATTCACTTGCAGTGACCAGTGGTGGTTGTGGAGGGGAGACAGTAATGAGTAAATCTTGGTTAGAATAGTTGTACCATGACTTACTAGGTTCAGTTTCCTGATCTACAAAATGGGTCACTCTACCTGCCTCACAAGATCGTTGCACAAATTGGTTGACTCAGTTCCTAACCCATGGGAAGGACTCTGTACTCTGTGGCAACATTAACTCCCAATATATTGTAGCATATGAGAGTACCATGGAGGGAGCAACTGACCATGAGTAGGAGGTTGGGGGTGAGGAGAAGTCAGGAAAGGCTTCCCTGTGGAGGCCAAGAGTTTTAAGGGAAGTATGAAAAGGTAGGAGGGCATTCCCAGAAGAAGCGACGGCATGGGCCAAAGTCCAGAGTTGAGAGACGTTGGACAAGTAGGGAATTACGAGTCGCGTAATAGAACTCCAGCATGCTGTTTTCATCACAAGCTTTGGAAAACAAAAAAGATGCCTCTTCAGTAATTTTCAAGACTTTGTAAGTCCACTCCTAAGAAAAGTCAAAAGGAAATAACTTTAATTCCATGGCTGTTTATTGCTACATTGTTTAGCATAACATAAGAAAGATGGGTAATACTTTTGAGATATATTAATATGCTTTTCTCTTTTGTATTTCTGACTATGTGACCTTCTCCTGTTCATCCAGAGGCACCCGTTTGCCTCAAGGAATTAGGATTCTTGAAGCAGGAAGGCCGACAAGGAAAGAATCAGTGCTTAACTTTAGTCTACTAAAACAAGATTTTCTGAATTTCCTGAGCTGCCGTTAGCATATCATGAATCAGGCCCAGTGGACTTGAATGTCGGGTTTCATGTCACTAGCGTAGCCGTGCCTACCAGCCTGCCTGGGACAGCCCCAGTTCACACGTGGTGACCTGGCCTGATTATCAGTAGTAACGCTTTCACTCTCAAAGCATCCCTGTTTGGGTGATAAATTATATGGTAAGCGAAGTCCCTGCCGCAGCGGAGGGGAAGCGAGGTGGAGGCCAACCCCTCAGGCCTAGTGGAGTGTGGGAAGGAGGAGGAAGATGGAAGGGGAGGGAAGTGAGTCAGTATGTCTGTGTGTGCTGTCCTCTCCTTAAAACCACAATTCCTACGTGTGTGTTGGGAGGGAAGCGGGGCTTGTGGACATATTAACTAAATGCAATAGGGTCTTGGCCTCACTACCCCCGGAACTCTAGGAAGGCTGCTGTTCTCTCCCTAAAACCACAATTCCTACGTGTGTGTTGAGAGAGAAGCAGGGCTTGTGGACGTATTAACTAAATGCAATAGGGTCTTGGCCTCACTACCCCCGGAACTCTAGGAAGGCTGCCGTTCTCTCCCTAAAACAACAATTCCTACGTGTGTGTTGAGAGAGAAGCGGGGCTTGTGGACGTATTAACTAAAGGCAATAGGGTTTTGGCCTCGGCTACCCCTGGACTCTAGGAAGGCTGCTGTTCAGAGTAGTCCCGTGACGGTGCGGGTTGGCAACAACAGAATAGGAACAGCAGTTGCCGGCTTAGAGGGAGAAGGGCCAGGGTTACCCCGTCTGGAACTTCCCCAGCTCCCACCTAGTGTGAAAGGGAGGTTTTGATGTGTCCCTGGGGGGAATTGCAAGTAAGGTTCTGAGGAGAGAGCCAGTGAGTGGGCTTGCCATGGGGGCCACCTTGGTGAGTGAGGAGTAATACTTCAGCCATACAGGCTAGATAGTCTCAAGGGCTGGATAGAGGATGAGACTAAGGCTTGGATTGGTTCATCAGAATTTGAGGGAGTTAAGGTAGAGGACTTAAGGACCCCTGGTGGTGCAGTGGCTAAGCGCTCAGATGCTAACTGAAAGACTGGCGATTTGAACCCACCAGCTGCTCCGTGGGAGAAAGATGTGGCAATCTGCTCCCATAAAGATTACAGCCTTGGAGACTCTATGGGGCAGTTCTACTCTGTCCTATAGGGTGGCCGTGAGTTGGAGTTGACTGGACAGCAATAGGTAAGGTAGGACTTCACCAGCTGTCTGTCAGTTTGCCATACTGTGGTGGCTCGTGTGTTGCTGTGATGCTGGAAACTGTGCCACCAGTATACTAGCAGGGTCACCCATGGTGGACATATCTCAGTGGCACTCCCAGCCTAAGACAGACTAGGAAGAAAGGCCTGGCATTCTACTTTTGAAAATTTGCCAATGAAGACCCTATGGATCACAATAGAGTATTGTCTGATATAGTGCTGGAAGATGAGCTGCCTAGGTTGGAAGGCGCTCAGAATACACAGTGGCTGCAGCAATGGACTTGAGCATGCCAATGACCATGAAGATGGTACAACTACAGGCAACGTTTTGTTGTGTTGTGCACTGAGTCACCATGTGTTGGAGCCGATCCATGGCAACTGACAACAAAAAGGTACGGCTAGGTTGGGAAAGGCGGGCGTGGGGCTCAGCGTGAGCCTGAGAACAGAGCCAGCTCATCACGTGCAGATGTTAGTGTCGGATGCGGTGCAACACTGGGTAGCCTGGCAGAGAAGGTGCTTTGCGGCAGAGAGCAGAGATCCAGTGGCCATCATGGACCACCCTGCTCACCACTGCCACAAGATAACCCAAGTCTTCTGTATACCTGGATATCATCTTGGGGATTGGCAGGGATAGGAGGAGAAGCTGGGAGGGAGGTGAGTTTGAGGGGCTTGCATTCACCTGAAAGAAGTGTATTGTTTCATTTAAAACATGTTTATTGGGCACTTACCCTGAGTTAGGCACAGCTGTAGATATTGGGGTACAGCATTGAACAAAACTGACAAAATCCCTGCTTTTGTGGGACTTCCACTTTGAGAGCTTCATCCAGGGATGTCTTTGAAGCCTGAAAAGACTGAGACTGTTCACCCTAAATTAATACTACTCAGCTGAGGGTGGGGGTGAGCGCTCTTCACAAAGATCAAATAAAGTATAGAAAAATAGGAGGCTGCGTTTAGTTTTGCCCATCTGAATAGTAAGTGGACATTGCAGATCGCCAGGACTTTTCTCCCACGGAGTCATTGGGTGGGTTCCAACCCCTGACCTTTTGGTTACAGCAGCCCAGCAGTTCACCATTATGCCACCAGTGGTCCTTAAAAATATATAACGTATTGGTTAGAACAATTATTTTTAAAATGCCTTTTTAGCTATCATTTTTAATATCCAGCAATCGTGGGCATTTGCTTTCTGTCCTTTTCTTCGTAGGGCTCTGTGCTACTGGGCTGAAATTCTGAAAGGCATTGTGTAGGAGGGGGTGAGGAGCAGGGAGAGGGCAGGAAGGAGGAGTTGACAGTGCCACTACCGAGTGCCTTTTAAAAAGAAGGAAGGAAGGAAGCAAAAATGTTGTGGCCCTTTTTGAAAGAACAGATGGAAAACTGATCACCTAGTGATGTCTGACTTGAAAAACTTGAATTCAAACACAACAAATTTAAGATTTCTGGGGCATTCATGTATTTTTTTTAAAAGGATTTTATTCATCTTACTTTTTTATGTTCTCCATCTTAGTATTATATCAGTTTCTAGGTTCACCTACTATATTTGTTTGTGATTCCCGTGATAATTTGACCTCAGTATGTGCTCAGAAACCTAAGCCATTCCTGATCATAGACCATTTTGGCAATTTATACCAGTTATCAAAACATGAAAAATTTAAGGCAAGGTGCCTTACTAGGGTTTAACAAAGGGAAGTGAGCTGCCTGTGTTTTGCAGAGAAAAAAAGTGCTATAGGAAAAGGAAAAGAGAAGCAAAGACACAACATTGCAGGCTTTGGACTGGGGCATTGAGGTCATTTCTGTTTTTCCTGTCTACTTAAGTGATTGATCAAAGAATAATCTATTTCCATCTTGTTCTAGACACATGCATTGTGAAGAGAACTGCATCAAGTTCTCATAGACTAAGGTAGGAAGCTGTCTTTTGGATCAAGCCAGAATGCTTCTGGCAGTACTGTGAAGCTTCCTTCCACTGTTCGAATGCCAGGGTACTGACTTCCTTAAAAAAGAAGTCTGCGCTGACCACAGTGGTGTCACGTTTACCACAGGCGGCGTAGCCCATGCATTGTATGTTGTTGTGACCTCGTGGAAAGCACCTTGCTCGGGTTAGATTCACAGCCAGTTCAAAATCCTGAGTCAGGTTTGGAGGTTCAGAGACTTGTTCATGGAAGATACTGTTATACAGTGTTCATGAAACTCCTCCAAAATAACTCTTTATCCAGTTGGTTACACAGAATATACTAGAGTGGCAGACACTTAAAGTCTTTCTTACATTGTTTCCTTTTGGGGAATAGCCTCTGTTATTTCATTATGGTTTGAGTGAAGCTGGAGCTTTTGGCCCAAGGGGAGGGCATGTGACCAGCCTTTGACCGGTCATGATAGTACTCCATCCTCACAGCCACGGTGGCTCTATTCACTGAAGGACTTTTGCCGGACCTATGAAAAAGAGATTTCTGAGATGAAAAATTAAGGGCGTGAAGCAATTTGCAGCCATATTGGTACCATGTGAAGAGATTTTGTCTGAGAGAGAATAGAACCAATGTCCTGATTATGTTGTTCGAGACAGAGTTCTACCGACATTTTAGGCTGGGTAATTGTTGTGGGGGCTGTTGCGTGCATTGTAGAATGTTGAGCAGCATCCCTGGCCCCTACCCGCTAGATGCCAGCAGTATCTCCCCAGTAGTAACAACCAAAAAATGTCTCCAGACATCACCAAATGTCCCCTGATGTGCAAAATTGCCCCCAGTTGAGAACCGCTGGTGAAGTAACTGTGTCTAACTGGGCTCAAAGACAACCCTTTGACTTTTCAGTTATTTGTACCGTATTAGCTTTCTGTTGCTGCTGTCTTTATGGCTCAGCTTCTGTCACCACATGCCTTTCTATGACTAAAGCCAGGGAAGGTTTTAAGAATCTTTTAAGAATCATGTGTTTAGATTGGATCCACCAAGGTAATCCGGGATAGTCTCCCCAGTTTAAGGTCCTTTGCTTAATCACCAGGAGCCCTGGGGAGACTGTCCTGGTTATGAGTCAGAATTGACTTGACGGTAGTGGGTTTGGTTTTTTCTGTTTTACTTAATCACATCTGCAAAGTGTCCTTTGGCCGTGTGTATTAGTCAGGGTTCTCCAGAGAAACAAGTATATCTATATGTGTGTGTGTGTGTGTGTGTGTGTGTGTATGTATGTATGTATGTACACACACACACACACACACACACACACACACACACACACGTGGTCCCTAGGTGGCACAGATGGTCGGTGCTCGACTGCTAACCTAAAGATGGATGGTTCACAGCTACCCAGTGGTATCGTGGAAGAAAAGGCCTGGCAATCTGCTTCTGTTAAGACTACAGCCAAGAAAATCCTACGGAGAAGTTCTGTTCTGTACTACATGGGGTCGCCATGAGTCAGCATTGACAGCAACTAGCAACAACATACACAGACACATACACCTGTGTGTGTCTGTGTGTGTATATATCATGTACATATACAGAGATGCTCACACACAGAGACTGAGAGAGAGAGATTGATTTTACGGAATTGGCTCATGTGATTATGGGGGCTGACAAGTCCCAAATCAGTAATCCAGGTAGCAGACTAGAAACTCTGGCAGGGTATCTGTGTTACAGTCTTGGGGCAGAACTCCTTCTGTCTGTGAAACTTCAGTTTTTTCTCTCAAGGCCTTCAACTGATTGAATGAGGACCACCCACAGTACTGCGGCTAAGTTCCTCTACTTGAAGCCAACTGATTGTAAATGTTAATCACTTCTACACAATACCTTCACAGCAACAACTAGACTAGTGTTTGACCAAATGCTGGGCCTCAAAGCCTAGCCAAGTGATAGATAAAATTAACCATCACACCTTGTAAGGTGACTTATTCACAAGTTCCAAGAACTAAGATGTGGACATCTTTGGAAAGCCATTATTCTGCTTTCCACAGGCACCGGTAAGTTTCTTTCTTCTTTTTTTTTTTTGCTTGCGCTGGCTTGACTTGGAAGGAGCCCTAGTGGCCAAATGGTTAAGCACTTAGCCACTAACCAAAAGGTTAGCGGTTTGAACCCACCCAGTGGCTCCATGGGAAAAAGACCTGGCGATCTCCTTCCATAAAGATTGCAGCCAAGAAAACGTTATGGGTCAGTATTACTTCATCACATGGGGTCACTATGAGTCAGAACCAACTTGAAGGCACAAAACAAGCTTGACTTGACTGTCAGTTACTGCAGCTGAGAGTTAACAGTAAAATGTTTGAGACATAGTGTGGGAAACCTCTTTCTGCACCTTCCTACAGTTGATAAATTGTTTTGAACCCCCAGTCCCTATCACAAAGCCTGGTACACAGTAGGCACTCAGAGTGTACTCAGTGGATACCGGATTTATTCCACCCCTTCATCTCGGGTCCCATGAAGAAGAAGCAGCATTATTAGAAACTCTACCACTGACTTGCTAAGCAGGGCTCTGGAGAGAGAATGAAGAGAAACAAGAAAACATTTCCTGCCAAGATAAGCAATTAAGCGATTTTAAGGAGCTGGGATTTCAGAGTCAGGAATCCAGGAAGGATCTGCAGCTCCCCACTGTTCCTACCACTCTGTGAAATAAGATAGTCTGTCTTTTGTTGGCCTAGTTGCTGCTCTCCCCTTCTCTTCGTTTTTTTTTGTGCGTTGCACATTGAGGTTAAGTGACTGATAAATCAATCCTGGGTGGAAAAGAATTTATTTTTCTTATTTCCCTTCTCAGAGCAGTTGCTCCATATGAAATGTATTTATGCTCTCCTCTTACTGTGTCCTGGGTTCTGTAGGTTTTCTAACAGGAGGATTACACAAATCCCTGTGGGATTTTCAGTTCACCAGCCCATAGCCTATCATGCTGTCCTTGTGACACCTCTTGGCTCTGCAGAAATTACCCCAGATTCTCAGGCTAGAGTTCTGTGTCTGATGGAGCCCCTCACTTCTGGGTACAGAATGTCTGATACATTAGCCCCAAAGATGCAGATGAGAGGAAGCCTTTAATTTAAAACAGTCCAAGGGAGGCCTGATGATTTAGTTCAGTAAATGCACTCTTAGTATCCAATATTTTGTTTTCAAAGGTCTTAGCAAACAGAGAGACCTGAATCTGACGTACCTTTGATTGGAACATGGAATTTCTTGAAAGCTCTTCTCTAACAAAGCCACTTTCAGCGCCTCTGGGAGCTCAGAGGGTCATCTCAGATGGGATTGGCGGTGGCCTGGCTTCAGCTGATGAGATTCACGAATCTAACACAGAGCGAATTCTACAGCCTCAGCTCCCCTTCCTGCTCTCTTATTTAAGCAGCACAAAATCTTGGTTATAAAAGGGAGTGTTTTCCTATAATAAGCGCACATAAATACTTCATTGATGCGGTTATCTTTGACGTAAAATAATTCCACAGCATGGCTAGTGCCTGGGAGAAGTGATAAGTCTTCTTCCTCTCCACCAAGTGATTTCTTTTTTAAACAAACAAAATGTATGTCTGAATTTGGTTTGTGTGTAAACACGTCTGTTTGTCCCTGCCACAGCATTCCCTGGAATGTACACCTGACCCCTTAAAGTAAATGCTGATGAAAGAGGAAAGCAGTGTTGCTTCTGCAGTCAAGATGAAATAGATGGAACCTGGTCCAACTGGAGTTCCCAAACTCCTAGCAGTATACTTAATTGAGAATGTATTTCAAATTGTGAGCTTTTGGCTTATGTCATAAGAGTTAGCAAATTCAACTTACACCTTTGCTCTTAAAAAAAAAAAAAAAAAAAAAGGCCTGGAGAGAAGTAAGAAAATGCTATAAGGGGACCAAGAAAACCTTTGTAACCCTGCAAAAATTGTAACTGCTATCCATGCTTCCCCCTCCTTGGGATAACCATTTTTGTCATCTGATAAAAGTGATGTGCCCTTGACTAAACGCCTTTTTGCAAAGCATTGCTGATTAAAACGTAACTACCTGAGATGATTTTTCTTTCTAGATTGGTCTCTGTTTTGAGAGTAAATCTACGTACTATATATACCGTATTTGGAAATACCACCTTCTTTGTTTTTATGATTCTTTGGCTCTCTCTCATCATCTTATTGTTCTGTCACCGTCCTGTGTGCTGGTTCTAAAGCTGGCTCTCTGGCCTCTGCGCTGCCTGAGTTTCTGGAGAACAAAACACTTATAAATACCTGTAATATTTCTCCGGTGGTGAGGAACAGAAAAAACTGCAAGACTCGGTGGCAACGTAAACAGAAAGTTGTGTCAGGGAGGAAGTGACTGACGACTTGATTTATAGAAAACTAAGTTAAGAGTCACTGGTGATTCTTGAAGGGTACTGTCAGGATCTGGGATTTTACCCTACTTCTGTGAGGGGTAGAGTTCTTCGCCTTCAGTGCAGGAGACCCAGTGATTCCCGGGTGGCGTAGTTCACGTGCAGCTACCACCTGTCCGTCGGTGGAGGCTTGCATGTTGTTATGATCCTGAATGGGCTTCAGTGGAGCTTTCAGACGAAGATGGATTAGGAAGAAAGATCTGGCAATCGACTTCTGAAAATTAGCCAGTAAACACCCCATGGAGCACAATGTCTGATCCGTGGGCCATCATGGGGATGGTGCGGGATCAGGCGGTGTTTCTGTTGTTGTGGGGTTGCCGTGAGGCAGGGGCCAACTCAGTGGCAGCTAGCAACGACATAAGCTGGTAAGTTAGCCTGTTACTGTTTCATAGAGGCTGGCAGAAGGCAAACGTGAGCCTCTGGGTCAGAGGCAAGGGGCTGTGTTACTCACAGCAGCAAGCAGTGTGAGCATCATGTTTGGGTCTGTTCCCCACTGCCTCCCCCAAAGTCCAAGGAGTGATGTGAAGGAGACCAGGTGGATGCTGCACACACAGTGGGTTTGCGTCACAGCCGAGGAACCCTGAGCTTGGGAAATCTGCCTCTGTAATGGCAGACCTGCTCTTTGCCCTGGAGAGAGACATTACCTCACCTTCCTGATTGCTCACTGCAGACGCAACCCTGAGCATGGTGCAGGCAGAGCAGTCAGGGCCTAGCGTTCTTTGCATATTTAGCAAGAATGTGCAGAGACAACCAGGGCTCAGGGGCAGGGCCGAGTACCTCTCCCAACAGTCCCCCAAGGTGATTTCGCATGTTATACTGATAACAACTCTAGCTGCTGTTCACGGAACATCACTGCTTGCGCCACTGTGCACGTGCTTTTACGTGTCTTATTTTCCATTTTACAACAGCCCAGTTTAGCAGGAAGCCTGTTTTATAGACAGGGAGACTGAGATGGGAAGAGTTTTGAACAACGTTGCGGGCTCTGACGGCTCTTCTGAAGTGAGGCTCCTTCCCTTGTTTTCTGTCTCATCCCACTCTGCGTCTCTTCAGTGGCACATCCAACACTATGTCATGTAGTTTGCATTTTTTTCTCTGTCTCCACCACTGGAATGAATGCTCTTTAAAGTCAAGGACTTTATTTCGTTAACCTTTGTTTTCCCAGCAATTAGATTAGTGCCTGATGGTATGTGGTAGGCATGGGATAAATATTTGGGGACCATGTCTATTTTGAAGGAGCCCTGGTGGCACAGTGGTTAAGTGCTTGGCTATTAACTGAAAGGTCGGTGGTTCAAACTCCCCAACTGTCCCGTGGGAGAAAGATGTGTCAGTCTGCTTCGGTAAAGATTACAGTCTTGGAAACCCTAGGGGGTATTTTTCCTCTGTCCTGTAGGGCTGTTATGAGTTGGAATCGACTTGATGGCAATGGAGTGTCTGTTTTGTGCCCAGAGGTTTTTTCAGTGCTTACTTATCAAAGAGCCTGTGTGTGACCTAGTAGGTGCAAGAAAAAATATTTGCTGAATGAACAGACACTAAGTGGTGGAGCCAGAACTTGAACTGAGGTCTGTCCGGCGCGTAAGCCTTGTACTTGACTGTATTGTTAATCTTTGCTCCTCTCGGTGGTAGAATCCACCCACTGCTCACAGACCCTTGGAGATTTGGATTCTGTCATACTTGTTTTAGTAGCTCTCACAAGGTAGGCACTCGATATCATTTTGGAAGTCAGTTAGAAATGAAAGAGTTTCATTTATTTTTATTTTTTTAGTCTCTCCTGCAGCTTGATAGGGAGAAAACAGTGAGTGCCTCCCCGAGTCTGAAATGACCATTTTTTTTTTACTAAAATACAAGGCTTTCTTTCTAGAGCTCCTGTGGGTGACAGCACAGAGGGTCTGACCAAGAACCTTGAGTTTCTTCACTGGCTTGTTTCCATGGTGATGGCTGCAGTGTTGATGGGGCTGTTGTGGCAGGGAGAGGAAACAGAAGGAAGGGCGTTGTTGCTCAACAGAATACCCAGAATCCTTTATGACCACGAGCAGTAGAGTCTGCTGCAAATGACAGTGGACCAAAACTGACTCGTAACTGGGAGAAATGGGTCCTGAAGAACCATCTCATGTGTGGAACTTTCTTTCCTAATTGCATTTTTGAGAGATTTGCCTTTAGAGTTAACAGCAGGATTACTTCTGTAACTTTTCTAAATGCGTATTTACTTGCAGAGCCTCCCAGCGGGAGATAAAGGTAGATGCTCACTTGCTAAGGTTCCAAGAACCATCCCAAAGCTCCTGTGGAGAAAATTTATGGAAATAATTTAGAAAGCATTTTTATTATTATCTCTTATGGTTCAGAAGGTTGTTCTT